TCAATTACATCTTCCCCTCCTCGTACTATGGTCGAGACTCACAAGCCCTCCAGCAATCAAACTACTGCGCTAACGCGCAACGGCTTTCGCGCGTCTTGCTCAATCCCTTGCTTGTTCAGTGAAGGATAAAGTATTTAGAAGCGCAGTGAAGTCCTGGTGTAATTGAGGAGATAAGTAGATCCTAGGCGCCCATCTCTGGGTAAATCGGGGGAATATCAATAGGGTATTTCAATCCCTTTCATAGATTCCTCATCTGGCATTTCTATCATTCCTACCTTGCCCTCCAATCCAATATGTCCTTTCAAGTGGCTAGATATCCTCTCCTTTAAAGTATTGAATCCCTCTAGAATTACAACTCGGGGTAGAAAGTAGAAATATGGGTGCTAAAAGCCTGCCTTCACTAAAGAAAAAAAGACGATCAGACTATCTCTTATCGTCTGCATTATTATTCTTGCTTATATTATATACACCGCTAAAAGGTTGAATTCCGAACGATTAGGTTAGAGCAGGGTGGCTTACGTAATCTTTTTTTTAGGTAGCCACACTCAATCAGGTCTTGAATATGATGCCTCAGGGCCTTGCACCCTTTTGTCTCGTGACCATGGGACCTGTGAAAATCGCAGTACTTGGTCGGCGGATCGTGATTGATGGATTCCTCTTTTACTAGCGAGTGCTATATCTATGGATATCTTGAGTCAGGCAAGTTATGTTAGATATTGATCGAGGAAGGCAGCTTTATAGTGACGGAAGGCGATGGGGCGAGATCTCAAAGAAATTCAGTAGGCGCGATGCTAATTGCCCTTGATCCTAACCCTCGGAAGGGAGCAAGGGATTGCTTTCGTCTCATATAGCTGCAAAATCTCATTAGCTCAATTTCACTCGGGGAAGGTCTGAGAAATTGAAAAAGTGTCGTTTTATATAGCTGTGAAAGTTAGCAATCCAACCTTCGACAGAACCGAGCAAATCCTCGCCACACTCAAGTGTCGAAGTGGTAGGACATATCGATCACATCGCCAATGAACTTTGCGAAGTGCATTGGACCGATGGATAAGGTATGGATGGATCCTTTTATTCCAATCAAGGAAGGAAAACAAGAACAAAAGCAACTCATCAACTAAAGACCGAAAAGAAAGACCCAACAAACTTTTCGCCAAGCCTTATCTTCGTCTCTGAACTCGGGTACCAACGAAAAAAGTGCTCTCTGAACCGAACGTGAAAGTCGTTTTCCATCAGACGGCTGTTCCCGTAACCCTACTATACTGAAACTCCTGGATCCGAAAACGGAGCCAATCCAGCCGTTTTCTTGCTTCGTCAATGCTTCTCCGAAAACCCCCTTTTGAAGAGCTCAATGTAACCTTTCCTTCACTTCGCTTCTAAATTACATGGGTCTCACTTCTTCTCCAGCAATCAAACTACTGCGCTAACGCGCAACGGCTTTCGCGCGTCTTGCTCAATCCCTTGCTTGTTCAGAAGTATTGGCGAAGTTCAGTCATAGAGGCGTTCCGATAAAGGGAAGAAATATATGAAGAGATGGGTATTCGCCCGATTCCAGGTCGCCTATGTCAGGTTTGTTCTGGTGACGGGAAGAGACGTTTGTTTGCGATAGGTAACTATTTCAAACAACGTCTTTTAACCCCTTTTCATGACTGGTTAGCTGAGCTTCTCAAACGGTTACCTACTGATGTTTGATCAGCTCAAACCACTAGACAGGCCTCTGGAGCTCCACCGACCGTCTATTCAGTAGATCTAAAAAAGTCTGCCACCGATAGGGATTCTATTTCTATATGCTTTAGTCGAGTCTTTGTTTGATCGACCGTTTGCATCTGTAGTGGTTAATGCTGGTTTAGGATTCAACGCTTTTGATGTTTATTTTATGAACACCAAAGGGCCTGTATTCTTTGCAGCAGGCCAGCTTTTTTTTTAGGGTTAAAATCTTCTTAGCCCTTATTCGCTATATCACATCACAAAGTGGTGTGGTATTACGCAGAGCAGGTCTATCCTGGTACTCGTTTTGATAAGTATGCCATTCTCGGTGATGATATTGTCATCACTGATAATTCAGTTTATCAGAAGTACATGTCAGTTGTCACCAGTTTAGGTGTTGAGATTTCTAAGCAGAAGTCTTTGACATCCCGGACTGGTGCTGCTGAGTTTGCCAAACGCTTTCGGTTGAAAGGATTGACAGTTGATGTCTCTCCAGTTTCAATCCGTCAGCTGGCCGCCTCACGAGACCTTTTTAAAAGCAAATGGTATTCTTATTAAAGATGCAGTACTCGGTTAGACTGGATGACTTTTATCATGCTCCATTATTTTTACGAAACTGGTACAAACCAGCTGTTGATGAAAAAACTCAAGAAGCAATGGACAAGCGTTCGAAAATGCCTGAAGCAAGTTTGAGGCTTGAACGATTGGCTGCGAGATGGAAGGAACGAAGCGGAGCTATAAGAATAAAGAAGACAAATAGAATCTAATTCATGTTCATGCTATTTTCTATGACTGAACTTCTAAAGATTACATTGACCTTGGGTGCAATCATTTCCTGATATCATAAGCCCCTTACTCACTCATAAAGGTTGGGAAGGAATTGGAATTGCGAACTACGTCGTACACTACGAGAAGGGAATTTTGGTGCGGATGCTTCTTATTTAGAGAGGGGCGCTGCTTGTGATATGGAGCTTTATTTTGAGATTTTATTGTCTCCTCCTAGCTCATGATTCAGTCTGTAGTCACGGAGCTATGTATCAGGCGCTTCACCCTCCTACTATGGTCGAGTCAATTGCATCGAATCTCCTCTTTTTGTAGGACTCGACTGAAAGGAGAGGTCAACTTTGTCGAGCCAGCAAGAAAACGGATGCGCGTTAGCGCAACGGCTTTCGCGCGTCTTGCTCAATCCCTTGCTTGTTCACTTTGCTTCGTGGGTTAGACAGAAAGTAGACCAAGTATCTGTTTCCATAACCGATTGTTCATTCCTTAGGAGCAGCTTTCGGACTTGCGATTAGGAGATTGGTTACTGGTGTACGAAAGATTGCCCACTTCTGCATTGCGCTATATCGCTGTACTTTCTTTCCCTATGTGGTACCATACCATGGGTTAGAGAAGAGGTTGAAATATGCTCGACTGAAAGGAGAGGAAAGAAACTAAGCCCCAGTGACTGACGTAGAGCCGGTTCGATCCGACTCGTCCCCTAACCGCTAATGAAAGAGCAAATATTTGCCCAAAGAAAGGCAAAACCAGTAGTAGATGCTTGAATCTACATCTCTCTCTCGCCTATCAAAAGTAGAGCGCAAAGAAAGCAGTATCTCATCCGAGGTCGGGGGAACGGACCGAAGCTGCAGGTCTTAACGAGCCAAGTTGATCAAGCACCTACTCAACTCAGGAAG